GCATAATATTAACTGTCGACATAGATATGTTTTGTAATCCCGTCAACATGCATAGCAAAATGACACCAACAAAAACGCGTAAATGTATGTTGTGACATTTCGGAAAAAAATGTTTTAATACTTTATGTTTGCCCACTTTTTTACAATTTACACTGGTGCAGTAAGAGATTATTAAATCTTCACATAAGTGATAGGCAAAGAAATGGTTTTATGACATACTTCTAATATTTGGGGTAAAGTTTCTATTTATTTAATACCTACCTAAATATTCGTGTCAATTATTTTGAATGCTTGATCAATAAAAACAAGTGTGTCGGTATGTTAGCGTGACTAACGACGATATATTTTATGTAGAAGCGTGGAAATTCACACCATTACCACATAATAACGGTAGCACTGTCAATATTTGACTACTCGAGTAACAATGTCAAGGAATACCTAACAAAGTGTTGCACGAGATTAATTAAATACAACGTGTGTACATGTCACAAATATTGTCTCAAATTGTGTGTACTAAACTTTATTTCTAAGTTGTCACTTATTTGAAGTATCGTGTAGTAGGTACATCACTTTTATATAATATGTTTCATTGTATTGATTTGCTTAAATTAAATTCATGCTTTGGTAGCAAATTGCAAGGATGAATAAAATGATTTTCATTCGGTCTCTAGGTGCAATTTTTTAATAGGTATCCAACTTAGTCAAATATTTTTTTGGTCGTACGTACAATAAGGCTGGGCTGGGTTGCACCAACTTATTTTAACTTAAAAGTCTGTCAAGCTCCACACAAAAACACCGGTTAAGGTTATTGTTGTTCTTAAAAAGGTGATTTTACATTTTTAACTCTATACGTAAATTTTAAAATTAATTGAAAATGTTACTTAACTTGTCTTTTCCCATTTCTTTGGTTCTGTCCAAAGTTCAGTTCTTCGGTAAGTACATATTATTATGGTCCAAAGGTAGTAATAGACTGGCAAAAACATTTTTTAAGAATTTATATGCGTACGAGCATGTAAATAAGATGACATTTATTTATGTACTTGTACAGCTGCTTACTTTGATAAATATTATTGCTGGATTATAAGAACATATTAATTAAAGTTAGGTCATAGATATGAGTAAATATTTACATTTTGATAAGACTTTCTTCGGTATTTTTCCAAATATTTATATTAGCATGAATGAAAAGTTCGATAAAACAATTAGATAATTGAGTAAAGGGTAACCTTGTAACTTCGTGTTAACCTTAATGTCGTTAGTTGACGAGACCTTGTACTAGGTTAAGTTAATGATGTTTTAAAAAGACTACAAAAGTTAATTGCTTGTTAGTTGTTGTTTGTAATATTTTATGTCTTTGTAATAAAACTCGATTTAAACTTATTCTACTCTCCCGATTTTTATATTTTCAATCACCTGAAAGAAGTTTTGTTATTAGTTCAAATAAGTTTAACCTTTTTTTTAATCTGTGTTCGATGTAAGCAGAAAAAATAGTCATGTGTATGTAGATACACGTATAAGGAAGATATTGTAGCGAGAAACAATGTTGCAACATTGAAAGCGAAAGCTTGAATAACTAAGTAAATTTTTCTATTCTATGTACAAATACTGCAATACTTGAGTAACTATGTAAATTATGTGTGTCTATTCTGTGTACATTGCAAAGAAAGTTGAAAGTGCAGACGATGACGCATATTATTGTCTTTGTTTTCGGATCACGCAAAAACTGCGCGTGCGCCGATATGGTATTACTTAACCCACTGACAGCTGGAAAGTGAGCGTTCCTTGCCTCATCTTAGGCGACCGGTTTGTAAGAAACCAAATTGACAAGCGACGTCAACATTGACGATTTAGTACGGAGTTCAGCTGGTTAAGGTTAATATAAATCCGCAATGTGTACTTGCAATGGAGGATTGTTGTTAATATGCAAATCCGAAACAGGAATGTTTACTTCTGAAACTTTCGTTATCATTACAAATACCGACTGTCCATTTCACTTTTGTTGCAAAATAATTACAATAGTCTTATTATGTTATAGATTTCGATGAACGTTACCGTACATTGTAAAAATCATTATTATGAGTCGCATGACATGAGTAGATTAACTTTTACACGCTTAGGCTGAGTTGCACCATCTAATTTAGATCGTAACTATAACGATAACCGGTGTTTTTTGTATGGAGTTTGACAGATATTTGACGTTTGTCTCAGTTAAAGTAAGATGGTGCAACCCAGCCTTAGTCTTTTATTATTTCGTATTCAAAAATGTTATATTGATGTCGCAGGCAAATTGTATGATTCCGCATTTTACAAACGGCGTCGTCAGTTCACAAACGCTCGCTGTTCTATGAAATGCCGAAGGCAAAATGTAAATTGCCTGGGCACTTTATAATATTATTATGCCAAAACATTTGATAGCCAATTCAATTGCTGTTTACAAAATGCCGCGGCAAATTCAAGTATTTAGTTCTTTTTCTTACCACGCGAGGCGCTGCTAATCAAAACAAGAAAAATGGCGTCGAGTCGTGGTGTTGTGATACAGAAAACAGTGCAAATTCTACGTATTCAAAGGACTTTTCACATAGAAAGGCATTGATTATACTTAGTGAATTAAAAATATTTTACGATTCATAAATAGGAGCAGTGAAAAAGCTATGGAAAAATGAAATAGTTTTTGAGGTTATCCGGTACGTAAAAAACGCTAAGGTGACAATGGAATCTGGTGCTCGGACTGGTGGAGGACTGCTGCGGAATATTATTGGTTTAAAAAAATATTGTGTTGTCTTCTAGACTTCTTCTAGGTATAATTAAAATGTAAGAATTAAAGGACTGACTATCGAAACTTATTTTATGTCATAGTTTTATGTACCTAGGTACTAGGAGTCCCTGACTCGAACGCCTTGACACCTTAAGGGCCTAAATTGTTTGCACACACACGCTCGATTTTGCTCCGCCCCCGTTCATTCATATTTCGGGTCTAAGCAGCGTCGGCGCACCACTGTAGATGTTTGCCCTAGCAAACCAAGCTCTATGTAAAGCAATTAGGATTGAGTATTGCTTATTACCCGCATCCGTAGCGCTCGTTTGGCAACGTCGCATTTTAGTCAATTTGAAACCCAATAAAGAATCGCTACAAAATATTATATGAGGCTTCGTGTAAAATTTGAACTAGCGATTGCCCGCTCGGGTCACAAAATTGCTATCGCACATTCCGAGGTAACTATGCAATTTCCCGAGAAAAAAGTAGCCCTTTCTACAATTATTGTTGATATTATGAGTGTAAATCTCATGATATTAGTTTAGCTAGTTAGGGCGAGAAATACAAAATCATACAGTTGCTTTCGAATTTTACTTATTTAATAGGTATTTAATTTATTCGGAACTTATTTAAACAATATGTTATTGAATTAATTAGTAAAGTGTTAAGGAATATTTGTGGCTTAAAACAATCATTGTAAGATCTGGCTATAACTTTCTTAAATCCTTGAATGTAAATAAAAACTTATACCTGATAGGTTTCTATTTATTTTTAATGCATATTTTGTTTTCCGTTTTAAAGAAACACTTATCTTTAAAACGGAACATCTCACATCCAGGTAATTGGTTATCGTAAATATTATAATATTCAGTTAGTTTTATTTCAAATTCAATTTTTTATTGCACATTAAGTGTCTTTACACAAGGTCTTAAATCAATAACAATTAAACTTCAAACTAAATAATACTTAAACAGTTAACAATGAATAGATAAGTTTGTAAGTAAATATAAGAATTATTTTGAGAGGCATGGTTCAGTAATCGAGCGGAGGTCAATAAAAAGGCAATCAAACAGTCCAATTACTAGCACGGGTCAACACAAATCAATCGGTTATTGATCACGAAACTTCACAAAAAAACAAAGGAGAGAATATGTCGACAGATCGCCAAAGCAAAAAGCAGACAGACCTCGTATAAAAACACAATATTAAAAAAAATACATATCTATTTGTTTGTAACCAAATTCTATTATTAAAATTCTAAGGCTGAGTTGCACCATCTTACTTTAACTTTAACAAACGTCAAAATTCTGTCAAACTCCATACAAAAAGGACCGGTTACCGTTATAGTTACGGTCAAAGTTAGGTGGTGCAACTCAGCCTAAAACTAAGAAAGATTGAAGAAAAAGAAACATTTCGTTTTAAACCTTAACCGTATGACAATAAAGTGCACAATGGTATTTCGTATTGCAACCTAAGCCCTGATTGTCTCTTATTGGTCGTAGTAAAAATATAGTAAAATGCGTAACCAATTAGAGACGCGGTGAGCACGTGACCGGAGCGATGCGCTTACGCTAAAATTTCTACAAAGTGGTCAGGCGGAAGAGTCCCCGATAGTACCTATAGGTACGTACGTCAATAGTTTAAATTAGTGTAGTGTTGTTTTTATTACGAAAATATTTTAATTACTTTAGGAGTAGCTAGTATTTTAGGTTTGTCTTACCTGAATAGATACCTGCCTGATTTCTGAAATTAAGTCTGATTTGTCCAACATGTGTTTTATGATGGTTACCCTATTGCAACAATCATAGTCGAAATTTTATCAATTGAACGAGTCGCCAATTTGCCTTCGGCATTTCATAGAACAGCGAGCGTTTATAAACTGACGACGCCGTTTGTAAAATGCGGAATCATACAATTTGCCTGCGACATTGACACGATAATGTCAGTATCAGTTGCAGGTGCGAGGCCAGCTGAGGGCATAAAAATATGTTATAATGACCGAATCTAAGTAGAATTGCAACAATCTATTGACATTTAAAATCCGTCAATAATTAAAAGATAGTTTTTTTAAATCAAATACTTACATCATCATTAACATTTTCGACTTCTAATTGTCTTTACATACAAATCTAGTTTTAATAATGATGAAAACTACTAAAATAAATCATCCAAATTGGTTTAGCCGTTCCATGTGATGCTCAACCATTCTTAAAATACTCGTACTAATGACACAACAATTACTCACCGAAACGAAGTTTGTTGACTGAAAATGAATTCATAGAGCATGTTATGTTTCTAAACTCGAGCTGCACTGTGTTTCTCGGAAGAAGCGGCACGATATTGTTGTTGCCGGTTTCGTCGAAGTCTATTGGCGCCATTTTCGACGCTGCACTGTCTTCGACTGGACTTTTCGAGTCACTTCTCACTTCGCATTCCCATTCGCCCCACTCGACCGTTCCACTCTGACTGATCACAGCATTCACAGCTTATCATTCGCGGCAGTGATTCAGAAAGAATCTTCTAGTTCGAGTCCCTTATCGAGTTCCTGTCAGTAATAATCCACTCGAAGCGTCCCTGGAAAAAACATTAGATATCGTTATTTGTAAACATTATGCCAGACATTTGATAATTAATAATTAGTAAACGTTATCTGTTTATATTGCGAAAACTTTCATCACAACACGCGCTCGATGAGTAGAGTTATCATGATAGGTAGGATTAATGAATCAAGTTATGTAAGAATGTTATACTCTCTGTAGGGATGTATGTTCCGATTAATGCTAATTAATGTAAGTAAGCTGACACCTCTATGAGACATACTCCCTTGCCCTTTATGTGACTAGGAACTGTAGTGGGCACATAAAAGGAATCATAAAACAATACAATTATGCCCATGCACTTTGAATATATCATAATATCAACATATTTAAGGTTAGTCAATTTATTTTAAAAAAAATTCGCAGCGGTAATATTGATTTAAATGTATTTTTTATATCATATCAGTCACATTACCCTTGGTATTGTGATACCAGGAAAAAACAATGCCCTCTGAATCATACAAAATATTTTTTAATATGGCGCTTAAACTTATCAGCCAGTTAGTTACTTTACTTTCCGTCAGCAATCAGTTAAGTAAAATGTAGCGATGTATCCACCCGAGTGCTCTAGGTCAATGTAACGACCTTTAACTATTGTCTAAAATAGCATCTCTTGATTATTGTATTATGACTAAAATTTAGTCTAAATTCTGGCGCACTCAGTTGCTCTGGCAACCGTGAAATAAGCTCTAACTGTACCTACTTAGTATTTCCACATGTATTTTTCGTGGGAGGTTTCATTCTGGAAACTTCTTAATACTCGGCGTTATTACGTACTTTGACGAGTACGTGCGTGCTGTGGATGTTATGAATGTTACATTCCGGTAGAAATTAGACCACAATGTCAATAACAATGTCAGCTATTGCGATTCAAGTGTTATCTAGGTTAGACGGCTAACGCCCCTCAAAATCTGACTTTGCACGGTTGCTTGCGCAATTCGAGCAATGCTAACATTGCATTTTGGTTCTGCTATCGTCGTATTAGGAAAACATGCAAGGGTCCAAAGTGGAACATATTATTTGTTATACAGGGTGACTGGAACTGAACCCGCCATAGCTAATAGGCGTATAGAGGAGGTCATTTGCTAATTATTGAACCATACTTTCTATGGCTAAAGTTTTATAGTTTAGGAGATATGTCAATTTTTATACTTTTTTCAGATTTTTCCGAAATTTGACCTAAAAACTGCTTCAATTTTTTTTCTCGTGTGATTTCAACAGTTTTTTATATTTGATATTAATATCGAACATGTCTTTATTCAAATAAAATAAATTTCTGATCCAGATAATGATTGAATAGCTAGTTACGAGCCGCCAAAGTTCAACAAAAGTACAAACCACGATAAAAAATTCTACTTCAAATTCGATTGAAACAAAAATTAATGGTGGTAATGGATTGCCAATAATCTTAAAAATATCTCCAGCTTCTCTTCTTTCCAATGATACATCACACGTTGTAATTGGATATTGAAATTTATCAAAAATTCAAAGTTTATGGAAGAAAATGGAGTAATAATACAAAAATTATCCATACAAAGTTGATTTTGAATTTTTTTAATTTTTTTTTCTTTATAATGTGATTATTATTTTTAAATTCATTTAAAAAAAAACACGAAAATAGTTATGAAAAGGAGTATAGCAGAAAATATGAGTTGTTTGAAGAAACTTTGTATGGATAATTTTCGTAAATTACTCCATTTTCTTTCATAAACTTTGAATTTTTAATAAATTTCAATATCTAATTACTACGTATGATATATCATTGGAAAGAAGAGAAGGTAGAGATATTTTTAAGATCATTGGCAATCCATTATCACCATAAGTTATTTCTTAAATCGAAATCGAATTTGAATTTTTTATCGTGGTTTGTACTTTTGTTGAACTTTGGCGGCTCGTAACTAGTTATTGAATCATTATCTAGATCTGAAATTTATTTTATTTGACTAAAAGTTTATTCGATATTAGTATCAAATAAAAAAAACGGTTAAAATCATGCGAGAAAAAAAATTTAAGCAGTTTTTAGGTCAAATTTCGGGAAAATCTGAAACAAGTATAAAAATTGTCATATCTCCTAAACTATAAAACTTTAGTCATAGAAAGTAAGGTTCAATAATTAGCAAATGACCTCGTCTATACGCGTATTAGCTATGGCGGGTTCAGTTCCAGTCACCCTGTATATTAATTAGCTTTTGCCCACGGCTTCACCCTCTTGAAATTCAGTTTGTCACAGATCGTCATAAAACGCCTGTATGTTATTTTGAGCTACAAACAATAATACTGTAAAGTAGGTACTTTAAAATAGGATCAAAGGAAAAAAATATAGAATAATGCGTTAGACTGCTTCATGGTCAAGTGCTAGGCGAGAGACTCTACTTGGGGCGTCTGGGTTCGAGTTAGAGAGATTAACCTATATTTATCAGTTTGGTCACATAGATTCAAAGCTCATTGCTTTAAGCGACTACTTAAGTCTATGAAGTAGTCAATCTTTACAAGCTAGCTAGATTTGAATGTAAAATTTTCTACACAGCCTTAAGCACTCAAAATCACATGCTCATCATATGTTAAATTAGAGGAGCGGAACCGAATATTGGATACGTGCGCAATACTGGATACTCCAATTACTGAAAAAGTAACAACGCTATCTTCATGAAATATTTAAAACCAGTTGGTCAATGCAATGTTGGGGATAGTTTCCTAAACGGCATCGCCATATTTCTCTTTACTTGGCAATCAAATTTTAAAGTGCGTTTTTCGTTCGTCGTTTTATTTTTGATATTGACTTCAGGAGGCAATAGAAGTACTAATAAGTGATGTTTTATTTTAGTGATAGTACATTATAGCCAGGTATAAAGTTATTGAAGCATATTAAATGCGTTTTCTCGATAATTGGAATAGGTTAAAATTTTCGTAACGGTTTTCGTAAAAATAGGTAGTTACCTCAATATTGGATACCTAGCTATTCCCGATACTGGGTATCCAGTATTGGCTCTGTGCACGATTACAGCGCCAACTAGCGTCCACAACTTTGTAGGTTCTGTCACATTGACATTTAGGTCGTTATTTGTGAAAAAATATCGAAATGAAAAAATAACAAATATTTTCGACTAATAAATTGTTGTGATACCACGATTTGGGTGGAAAAAAGGTATTGGCTGGACAAGTCCGAGATGTAGAAGAATTAAGAACAAAACAAGGGCAGAGTTCAATAATTCACGCTCTCATCATAAGGCGAACATCTGTGCACATCAACTACTGTGACTCATTTTTGTACTACCACGTTGTATAGTCTAGTTATTTCCAAATTGTAAACGGCTATTGAACCAGCCCTATCGAAATACAGTCCACTCTTTTATTTAAGTTCCCAGTAGGACCCTTTTCATGTGATTAATTAATAATATTAAAATGTATTATGAAGAATCGCTTTGCCATTGACAGATACCTACATCTGTGTGCCTACCATGAGTTTACGTTAGGTGAGCTCGCTAGCGAATACGTCAAAAAATTCTATGAAGATTTTATTTCTTGAAAGTAGCCGCTAGGGGCGCTGCACAATATGTCATATATTTAAATGTCTTTTTTTTACGCAGTCGCTAGCGAGCACATCTAACGTAAACTCATGGTAGGCATACAGATGACAGAGCTTATATTATTTCTACTTTTGACCACCATGAGCGCTGCGATAGATTATGTTACCCTCACCCAGTACTTCGCAACCAGCGAATAAGGGTACCTATATAAATTGTAGCATTTATTATTCTTCTGAAAGTGTGTCATGCATAAAATGCTATAATTAAAAAGGAAATGAGGTATTTAAAAGGATCCAAAGCTTTTCGCGGGGCTCCAGTTTAGTCGTTCCAGTTGTTAATTTCTACTAAGGGTTTTAATGAGCTTGGACCTGTAAAATTTGAAAAAAAAAAGTTGAAAAGTGACTGCCGCGAAACTTAAACCAACTAAAATTACTTCTCAAGGATGAAAGAAAAAAGTTCTTAACGTGTTAATTCCCGTTTAATTTTCAAAAGCAACTGAACATGTACCTAATGTAATATTCTATAGATTTTTATGCTGGCTTCATTCAATAGACGCATGCGGTATATGAAGCACACCACACTGATATTGTGATTGTCACAATGTGAAATAGCCTAATCAATTGCGGAAAAAAGTGTAACAACTGTTTCATTATTGTTATCATATTTTAGCCAATAAAATATATACAGCAAAGTCGAACTTAAAGTCTTTTTCATATTAACGTGAAACCAATTACTGGTCTATGTCTTCAGTGTTCTTTATCGAACGTAATTGGAAATCAAATAATTTAAAACTTGGTGTCGTCTGTTGATTAATTCATAACCAAGCAATTGAGCACAGACGCATTGCGAATCAATTGGCATCAGTTTTATGATTTAATGTAGCCTTGTATAAAGCGATTGGTTTATATCATTGCTAACAATTCCGATCGTGTTTAGATCTCTACTGAATACTCCTTTATTTCCTTCCAATTAATTAATAAATAAACAAGATATTTCTTGTTTAGGATGAGTAACCTAATTATAATTATAAAATCGAGTCTATCGATATGTTTCTACAGTTTAATTGAATTATAGATTTCTCCTTGAAACTAACTTACTTTAATCGGAATCTAAATAATAAATTATCGAACTTTTTTTGGTTTTCAACCCAATAATCTAAATATCGTTTAATTATAAATGGTAAGCGTGAAGTTGAAACTAATATGATTTGTTTCAATGTTTTTTTTTTTTACTAAATTTGTCTATTTCTATAAATATATATCTAAATTTATTGTAAAAAAAAACAAAACGTCTCTCTTAAAAGGAAATTACGAGTAAATAAGTAGAGCGCCAACGCATAATGCGTGGCCGTAACCTGAAAGATTTTACACAGCCTAAATGCCTGAATGCTTGCACAATACTGGTGTGAACACGTATATTAGTTCGCTAATTACAGTTCTTTCAGAGGTCGAAGGATATCCAGTGGTGTAACAAACACAGCTAATGATTGGTAGATCGAACCCGGTCGATTTTTTCAGCGTTCGTAGAAAACGATCTTCCGCCGATTTGCATTTAGGTACTGGATGTTAGCGGTACAGAGATTGATGTACTTCAGACGGATTCTGCATTTTGTTGCAAAACTGAGCATAAGGTCGGTAATGTTGATGATGTCGAGCTTAATGTGCTGTACATAATTAAAATTTGTAATTCTTGCAATATTTAATTATTTATACCTCGGTAATTAGGTTGCAAAATATTTATTTATCTAACCTCTGTTTGTCTTGCCTGCGAGAAATTAACAGGATTTTTTGGCGACGGCTGCACGTTGGTTGATTCGCAGACCGAAATGCCATGTTGCGGGTTCAAATACCATGACGTGTTGAGTGGAGTTATGGATGTTTAGGTAGAATACACTAAGTAGGTAACTTAAATTTTTTTCTGTTAAGTTTTTAAGTGCGATTTTTTCTTAGTTTTTTGCTAGTTAAAAAGTGTGTAGGTATAATTATTTATACAGGGTGTTTGGCGCATCGTGTGCCAAAATGATTTGGCAGATAGAATGGGTCATTTCCTATATTTTCAGCCCCCATAACACGTTCCATGCCAGGCGGCTACTTTTATATTAATTTTTTTAGTAATTTCACCAAAATACCCAAATCGCATCATTTAATTTCGATTAAAAAAAAAACTACTAGGCGTAGCCTCAAAGTAAATATTTTGTTTTGACGTGCATTGATGTAGGGTTGCATCAAATCTAAATTTACGGGCAAATATCATCTAGTTTTTTTTAAATTCAGCTTTGAAGTTTTCCGAAAAGTTAAAAATGGACTGAACATTTAAGTTTACATGGCTATAAAAAAATAAATAAAAGAGATAGCGATCTTCGGATTTTATCAAAACTTCTCTAGTCTATCCCCATTCAAACGGTATACTAATCTTATTTAAATAATAACAATAACTTCACAAATTCCTTAAATCAGTGCATTGACTCTACTCGGACTGATTTGCGAAATTTGTGTTTATAGCCCCTTTTTGTGTTATTAAACACCTAACAGGTAAAAATTATTTATCTTATGCAATGTAAAAACCTTTTCCCTATCGTTTTTCAATGTGGATTTCTTGAATTTAAAGACGAAAATAATTATTTTGATCGTTTATTAATTATTACAAATTTAGTTCAAAATGACCGCCTCGGCAACGTATACACTCACGACATCTTCTTCTAATTTTGACTATTGTCGTATGCAGCCACATTTCTCTTTTTATCACTACAAAGGCGTTTTCTACTCGTGGATTGGAAGAGATGGCCCTATACAGTGGCCTGCACGTTCCCCAGACCTAATTCCGTTAGATTTTTACGTCTGGGGACGAGCTAAAGAACTGGTGTACGTAACGGATTCAAACAATAGAAGAACTACAACAACGAATAGAAAACGCCTTTGTAGTAATAAAAAGAGAAATGTGGCTGCATACGACAACAGTCAAAATTAGAAGAAGATGTCGTGAGTGTATACGTTGCCGAGGCGGTCATTTTGAACAAAATTTGTAATAATTAATAAACGATCAAAATAATTATTTTCGTCTTTAAATTCAAGAAATCCACATTGAAAAACGATAGGGAAAAGGTTTTTACATTGCATAAGATAAATAATTTTTACCTGTTAGGTGTTTAATAACGTGCTATTACACAAAAAGGGGCTATAAACACAAATTTCGCAAATCAGTCCGAGTAGAGTCAATGCACTAATTTAAGGAATTTGTGAAGTTATTGTTATTATTTAAATAAGATTAGTATACCGTTTGAATGGGGATAGACTAGAGAAGTTTTGATAAAATCCGAAGATCGCTATCTCTTTTATTTATTTTTTTATAGCCATGTAAACTTAAATGTTCAGTCCATTTTTAACTTTTCGGAAAACTTCAAAGCTGAATTAAAAAAAAACTAGATGATATTTGCCCGTAAATTTAGATTTGATGCAACCCTACATCAATGCACATCAAAACAAAATATTTACTTTGAGGCTACGCCTAGTAGTTTTTTTTTTAATCGAAATTAAATGATGCGATTTGGGTATTTTGGTGAAATTACTAAAAAAAATAATATAAAAGTAGCCGCCTGGCATGGAACGTGTTATGGGGGCTGAAAATATAGGAAATGACCCATTCTATCCGCCAAATCATTTTGGCACACGATGCGCCAAACACCCTGTATAATTATAACTGCGTCCAAACTATGTCTCAGGATGAGAAGAAAGCTTGTGAAATAGTTTTGCACTTGATAGTTAACATTCTAAATGTAATCTCATAATCAAGGCCTATGATATCATGTCCTATTTGGTCTTGGCTTGGTCGCTGTGTAGGTAGGCTTTATAGGCAAATAATGATTAGAAGGGATCACCTTTTTTAGGGAATTCCCTACAAACTAAATATTTACTTAACATTTTTACCTGTGTTATGATAGTTAAGGTGAGCAAGTATGGTTATCTTTATTAATATTCTATACTAGCTGTGCCCGCAACGCAAATAGTTTCAATAACATTTCCCGGTTTTTCAACATTTTTCTTTACTGCGCCGCCCCTATTAGATATTGGATGATGTTAATAGTCTTATTTTTTTAAATCGGGTCAGTTAGTTCCTGAGATTAGCGCAAAAAGTTTTCAAACAAACTCTTTAGCTTTATAATATTAGTAAGTACTTATGAATGTATACAGATTGCGAATTGAACAAGAAGCGCCTTGTATTTCGAACTGCAGCTGCCTGGGGTAAACACTCAATTCGTAAATTATCGAATAAATGAGAAATAAGTAAGTGGCTGTTTCGAAACGTTTGCCGATTGGTGCCTGCATACGCTTTTGCAAGATAAACTAAATAGGCAATATTGCCAAATTGCAGCTGTTTATTGAATAAATGCATTATATTGCATTTTGCAATGTATGTCGCGTTGCCGAAATATTGGACTTTAATATCGAGACAAACGTGCTGTTAACGTATGTTATAATTTGTAAACATTATGTTGTAGGTGTATGATATGACTTCAGCGACCTTAATAGACAATAATAATATGAATTATTTATGTACTTATCATTATTACATAGCTGCCATTGTATCATACCAGCCCTTGAAAATATCGATCGTGGTTTGAAGCCATATTCATTGTTCTGACTGAAACTATTAAAGAACTAATCAATGGCAAATGTACAGTCGACAGCACATCGGCTTTTTAAAGCAAAATAGGACTTATTACAAAAACATTAAGATGCAACTATATTTATTGAGATGTGCTGTTACTTATACATATTATCTGTGGTAATAGGTTTTTTAATTAAATTAGTTTTGATATAAAGTAATGTGTTTTTTATAGTCAAGATTCTTTATTAACGTGTAGATGAATATTGTCACGTCCACTGTCCTATAATTAAGATATCAAATGAGCGAATCTTTTTCTTTCCTCCTCTTGATATGTTAAAACTAATTTACTCTTTTGTATTGTCTTGTATCTTGTCTTTGATTATATTTTTGACGTCTATGAAAACGCTGTGTTTTCTTGCTAAAAAGTAAATAAAATCCCTATAACACATAAGCGCCCTATGGTCCTGCGTGAGGCACAATCAATACCACAATATAGGTACTATAAGTATAAGGATAAAATAAATAAAAAAAGTTCTAGACAATAAATAACAAAACAACTAACAAACTTTAATTATGATGTGACTATTAATAATGCCAGTTAATTATTTGTTATTTCTTCAAACGACTTCCATCCCCAAAAAAAAAAAAAAAAAATTCAAACGACAATTTGTGTTTGCGCGCCTAATTAGTAGGTACCTAAACAATAAAGAAAACGCGAATTATGAAATTACTTTAATTAAGCGACGACTGGTCCAACAGAATTTCCACTAATAACTATTATAGAGTAACTGGAGCACTTATAAATATTTTTATTGCGTAATATAAGTCTAGTTAATTGATTTTAACTAAGTATATCTTGTTATAAACCAGTTTTAATAACTGCAAAACCGATAGGAACCAATCTTTAAAAGTTTGCGTCTGCGACTCTAGTTGCATAATCGTAACATCAAGTGCTTACTTACATAAAATGGCATAGTATAGTCACACAGAACACTTTCTAAATCTGTTATTTTCCATCTAAGAATTGGGTCAACCAAAATAAAAAGCGTTTAAAAAGACGCAGAAATTAATATACACAACCGAAGACGGTAACTATGAAAAAAAAACACGTGAAAAAAGAAAGTTCGAGTTGAGTCACACGATTTTGAGGGTAACTTAACACGTGGTTTGTTATTGTTTCGTGATTGGAGGAAAATACTCGTACGCCCTGAATAATATTTTTAATTTAAATTAATTAATGTGTTTATATTTACAAAAGCTCGTATTTTCCGCGTCACAATTTTATTTTAAAATAACTACCTTTAAATAAATTATTTTTAAAATAACGAATAATAATGTTTCTTATTACTTACTTTTTAATAAAACAGCGTTCTTCACTTGTCATTCCACTTAAACTAATTGAAAACAAAAGCTATCGACGCGCGAGTTTGAACGCGGATCGAGAATAGAAAGTGACACAGGCTCGCTCCGCCACCGACCGAGTAGCACTGGCGAGTAATGGCGATGCATGGCCCATTCATTCAATTGATACTATGTTTTGATTTTATCAATGCTATGCGGGCACCATAAAACACAATAACCTTTTTTTACGAAACGTCACTATAACCACAGTTTTAGCTATTGTTGAGGCTATTGTTAATTGAATGCTTCATATTCTGTGAAACGATATTCTGGATTTTAACGAGGAAGAGATTATTTTAGTTAAATCATTAGGTTATCCGATTTTCGATATATTTAAAAAAAACATAGAATTTTAATGAAGGGGTTAAAATATCGGTATAATAAATATGTGTCAACTGAAACAATTGCATCAATACACTGGAAAGTTTTGAAGCTACTTTCACCAAACTTGCTCTTAAACCTGATTGTATGAAGGCTAAGGAAGGGCACTATTGAAAGAAAGAAAGATAAAATGTTGGTTTAGTACCAAACATTAAATAAACTGGCTTAAGTTTTCATGTCAATATGTACGGACGGCGGCACATCAAGTTGTACTGTAGTTGTGATAGGAGTTAGTTTGGGACAACATTTATAATTTCACGTGCAGCGACTGTACTATCAAATGCAACAGTTATTTTTATTAGGCTAGCATCGTGGTTTGATAAAAACAATACAAATAAAACCGAACGACTGCGCGTGCGCAACGAAATACCGGTTTAGTAAATATTTGTAGTAGGGCTGTCAAAAGTAAAAGTTATTTTATTTATTAGAAAAACTTTTATTTAAACTGAAATTTTAAAAGTTTGACAGTGTCTTTTGAATCTTAGTACCTCTTTCGTATTTAAAATAAACCTAAATATGGTATGTTTGTTTATTTTATTTATTAAGATAGCCAACAAGATGTTTTGTATGATAAATCTAGTACAGTGGTCAAATTATTTATGTATATTCAAAATTGTCTTTTGTTTAGTTGACAATGATAACCCTTATCAACCCTACCTCTGTTTACCTTCGGGTGAGTTTTTTAGATCACAATGAAAGATCGTAAATCCTTAAGGAATCCTACTTAATAAAATTGTAAAACTATTTTTTTTTAATAATAATCCGATAAACATACATAGTAAGCTACTAGCGCACATGCTACTGAGTGGAAAAATACAAGGGCGTTCGTCATAGCTGCCACGCTATTTTTAATTCAAAGATCTATAAATAAATATTATTAAGATAAATTGCCATTGTTTTAATTAGCTATCACAGTTGTTCCGTACAGGAAAATTATCATAATTTAACATTTATTATAAATATTATTTTGTTATGAAATTATCTGTAAAACTGTGTGAAATCTAAGTCAATATACCTAAGTGCTAATTACTGATTAACTTTTAAAACTATGTTGCGGATGAGCGTATGTAGGTCATGAATGAAGGTAGAGTCAGCAGTGTTCATTTTGCAATGAAACGTTTAGTCTAACTAAACGATGATGGATTTCAGAATTTAGCATTTATTTTATTTTTCTTTATTCAGAAAACCATAGCAACTCTTTAAAATATGGCAAATAGGTATTCTTATCTATCTACCTCTATAACAGCCTTTTGGGGGTTCGCCTTCGAACATAGGCCTCCTCTTCAACCCTCGACCGACTTCTGTCTCTGGCCACTTGCATCCAGTTTACTCCAGCCTGCTGCCTGATGTCTGTCCACCGCCGCGGGTGCTGTTGACCCTGGAGTGGGGTCTTTACTCCAGGGTCTTTCTGGCCCAGCGATCTTGGTTCATCCGTGCAATGGGCCCTGCCCATCTCCATTTACGGTTCTCAATCTCTTCCACCACGTCGGTCGCTGACTGACCCGCGTCTTTTCTCTGATCCACTTGTGTCTTTTGTGATCTTTTATAAAGATCTTTTTATTCATTCAAGTGGGCAGTGTAAATCCACCTTAAAAGATGAGTAATTCCCGCTAGACATTCTCGCCTCACCTTGATCTCAAACTCTTTAGGTCTATTAGTAGTTGTTAACACTTTGCTACTTGTTTTACGAACACTCAAGTATCATTTTATGACAGTCCGTTCACTTGAAGAGCCTACTCATCGTGCTAAACACAGAAGCAAACTTAGTGGTACATTAATAAAAATTAACGCAATATAATAAAATTGTGTTAGCACTTTATTATCCGTTATATTAAGTACTAGCTGACCCGGCGAACTTTGTTCCGCCTTAATGGCAGTAAATAAGCAGACTTTTTTTTTTAATTTCGAACAGGATAAAAAGTATCCTATGTCCTTCTCCTGGCTCTAAACTACCTCCCTGACAATTTTCAGCTAAATCGGTTCAGCCGTTCTTGAGTTATAAGTGGAGTAACTAACACGACTTTCTTTTATATATATAGATAATGCGGTTAATATTCACATAGCGTGATATAATAATTGCGTTATGTACTTAATGTAGTTCTCAGGCTCAGGCTCTCAATTTCAACCCGAAACTTTTGGTAGAAAAAATAGAGTCAAGTCTGTGATTGCAATAATTATTGAAAACTATAGTTACTAATTTAGTTTTTTGTTATAATTTACAATTAATTGAAAACTAACCAATAACAGGCATGGACATGAATCTGTACCCACTTGAATTTTGAATTATTGAGTGTCTTTTCACAACGCGGCAGGAGTTGTTCAAGGAAACATTTTCCTGAAGTTTGTCGAAGTCACACACCCATAAAGAAAACTTCCGTCTTTTTTACTCCTGCTAAAAATACACTCGTGAATAAAACTCAAATTGTCACCAAACTTCTGTTTTAATGTGCATTTGAAGTCGACTTCCCGAATTTGCGTCCAACTTTTAAGCCGGAATTTCCCGTAAGTTACTTGCAAACAAGTAATTTACGGGATAAAGTTATGATTTACGGAGTGCGAACGTGAAGGGAATTATTATTTGAATATCAAAGGGTTGGTTATTAGTTCAATCCAAATATTTGCTCGTTTATAATAATAAGTACAATGACAGCTAATATTGATAGGACTTGGCGAATATAATATTTTTTGGAAACTAGGTAACGTATTCTTATCATCATCATCATCATCATTTCAGCCATAGGACGTCCACTGCTGAACATAGGCCTCCCCCAATGCTTTCCATGTTGATCGATTGGCAGCGGTCTGCGTCCAGCGCTTCCCTGCTACCTTTACGATGTCGTCGGTCCACCTTGTAGGTGGACGTCCCACGCTGCGTTTTCCGGTACGCGCCCTCCATTCCAGAACCTTTCTGCCCCATCGGCCGTCAGTTCTGCGTACTATGTGCCCTGCCTGCCCTGCAACGTATTCTTATGCTCGTGCTGGATTGAAGCTGGCTGGAAATTTTGGCTTCACAAAAGTTTACCAGTTTTACTAAGAAAAGTAATAACATGATGTGTTTTATGTCTTATTATTTTGTTTACTACACTGACCTTCGGATAAAAAGTTTTTTGCACTTACACCCTTATCTTTGTATGAATGTATAATGTTTTTTTACGGTATTAGTGACAATCATACAGTCAACCAAGATATCTTATTATGTACATAACTGCATTAAGAGTACTTCAATTTGTGTCAATAATAAAATAAAATAAAAAACTGTTCTACATCAAGTCCATACATACATTTAGGCATCGAGAGTGAATAGGCACTTACAGGGCAAATATGTTCCATCCTAGACTGCATCTCACTTAACACCAGGTGCGATTGCGGTCAAATACCTGCCTTGTCTAGCATAAAAATAAATAAAAATTTAAACTTTTAATAAAATTGTAATAACATATGTTCGCCTTTAATATCCTAATGCCCGTTTTCACCATCAATCCCTAATTTTTAAGTGATCCCTATTAATACAAAATTCCTGTTATGTGTTACCATAGCGGTCACTCAAAAATTAGGGATTGATGGTGAAAATGGGAATAAATCTTTTTGACGTTAATCCCCTTCGATTACTGTAGCATACATTCATATTTAGCTTAGCTGGGTTAGCGGGCATCTTACTATAATGTATATTATAAATGCGAAAGTTTGTATGGATGTCTGGATGTTTGTTACTCTTTCACGCAAAAACTACTGAACGGATTTTGATGAAACTGTACAGTAGGTAGTTTATAACCCAGAATAACATTAAAGGCTATCATTTATGACGATCTGTGACAAACTAAATTTCACGCGGGTGAAGCCGTGGGCAAAAACTATTAAAGTAATAAAGTCAATGTCTATAGTTGTACAAAACCACACTTTCTAGAGTTGTATTATAGACAAAAATGTAGAGAAGATTTACCAGTAGCAAGTAGGTAATGGGCATAGACGGTGTGACAACAGTTAGGCAAACCGTTTATTGCGCATTTAACAAAATGTCAACATGTCAATGTCAACTACATTAGGACAAAACTACGAACACTATGGTGTGGTGTTATCAACATTAGCCAGCAATACTTTGCACATCTGCGAATTGTAAAACGTATCAAAGTTAATATTTTATATATATAATAAGATCCTTCAGCACTGGCCCATTTCTTGTCCCGAAGCAGTGGTGCTGGGACGCACGTGTAAAAGTGCTTTTTAAAAGCCTACTTGCAAAAATAAAATAAGTTTTATGAATTTTTAATGCACAACACTAGAAATAATGGTTGGTCCTACTATCTTTAAATGCCAACCCAAATAAGCCTAAGCCTAATTTCTTTACATATAATTTGGAAATAACCCGAAACTTTTTAATGAAAAAAGTTACCAAATTATTATAATAACGTAACAGCCACAGGTGACCTTTTTAATTTCATAGACAGTAAAACATCAGAACTTCCGGACATTTGACATTGTTCGCCATATCCCGTATTAACGTTAATTTGCGTCCCAATTAAAAAGCATGTATCGTGGAAACTCCATATTCGCGAGTGGACACAGTGTGTCGCGACAGCCGGGTGAAATATCACGGGCTCCTAATTTTTGTGAATATTAAATATGAGAAATTAGGCACAAAATGAAGTGGGTATTCTACGTAGTCGTCTTTGTTTACATGTTCTACAGAGCAGGTATGTAGA